GTTAAAACATGTAATCACCCCATTATGTATAATAAAATACTCTCATAACCTGTATTTTTTAAAAAAAATAAAAGGTAATTTTTATAGATATTTTTTGTTTATTTGTATTTGGACCGACCGACCGACCGACATCTTAAGATTTATGTTAATTGCAAATTTTCCAATAATGATGTTAAAAATGGGATGGTGGACATATGCATACCTAACAAAATTAAAAATAGGTAAAGACTGTGTGTGTGTGTAGTGATATGATTGGACCAGGATTAATGGATAGAGATGAAACCCAAATCAGTTTACCATGAAAAATATGAAAGGCTTAGCTGATCATAAATGGGAAAATGTAGGATGGTCCAAAGGAAAAAGGTGGGACAGGGAAGGGCTGTATTCAACATTTTGAGTAATGGGGTTTTTGACTCTTTCATAGGCAATGGCAGCTACCCCTTGCAAACCCAGTATTCATGGATTCATACCAGCTGCTACTCTCTTTGCTCAAATCAACTTTCCAAGGGACAATAAAAGCAAGTTGACACATGGGAGTTTGCTAATTGCTACCAAAGCCAAAAATATTTATTATAAGGGAAATATCATTTTAAGATATTCTTATTAAGAAGGTTATCATATTCATAATTTCCATATGTATGTTATATTATAATAACTAAAAAAATGAAAAAAAAAAAGAAGAAGCAGAAGAAATAATCCGAATTTTAAGAGGATTAAATCCAACAAAGTCTGATAATAGCCCTAACTGTATTACAAATATATATACATATAGTATTTTTAATTTATAAAACATATAATATCTCGACTATATTACTATTAAAGTGTATAATTCGATGCATAAACTTAAAAATATACAATTGAGAATATTCATCAAGTTAGCCTAATCATTTCTTATGTGGGAAAACTTTATTTTTCAAAAGGCATCTTTAATTTTAATATGGTTTTCATTTTGTGATCACTATCTTGTAATGATGAAGCCAAAGGGTAGTGTCTAATCCTACAACTCAATCAAATAGGGTTCTTACATGGAAAAACTACCTTATCCTTGATTAAAGCTTTTAGGGTTTACCCTTAAATTACCACATAGATTGATGGTAACACAATCTTCTATCTCTCTCTAGCAATCTGATTAGAACTATTCAAATACAAAAATAGGCATGATATACATGGCTTTGAAGAAGCTGAATTTATAAGTCTCCCCACCATCTGTTGCTTGGGATCAGAAATAAATGAAACAAAGGAGGGATGGGGACAGCATTGTCTTGTTGTAAGAGTTGTCCCATCTACAAATACTGATGAATTGGTAAGAAAGAGATGCAGGTATTTGATTAGGCTAGGGCAACTATACAACAGGCTGTTAAGTAGTTAACTGACTGAACTTTGTAAAATTATAGAAAACCCAACCTGTTCACTCCTGTCCCTTTCTACTGAGAGTCGCTACAGCATCATAGACATTGAATTAAGCACTACAATTTTGGTTGGATTCAACTCAACAAGCCAAGAGGGATTATAAAATTGGGGTTTTTTTTTTTTTTACTTACTCGTTTGTTCTCTTTTAACATGCTCAAAACTATTTCTGTTCTTCTTATTGGTGGTTTTAGACAGATGCATGTGGATGCTACATTCCATTTTTATCTCACATTCAAGGAACTTTGAGCATCAGCTTTGGTGTCAGATAGAATATACAAGGCATAACATTTATAATTTTTTTTAAATTATTCAAATATTTTAAATATGTTTTTAATCTTTTATTATATGTAATTAAATTTTTACATTTTTATTTTAAATTAAATAATCTTTATAATTAATGATTGACTAATTCCTATTGATTAAAATGCTACTTATTTTAAAAAAAATTATATAAATTGTATTATTGAATGCCAAAGCTCAATTTAACTTTGATGTTTATGATTACAAGTAGCATGAAAAAAAATACAAAAAAAACTAATTATAAATAAAATAAAATAAAGAAAACCTCTGAATGCCTTATTCTCGGATGTGAGGATGTTCGGGCATTGTTTTAATAGCTTCTATCTCCCATTATTTACCTTGTCCAAATCCTCAATCGTTATAATTAATGTTATTTTTATGCTAATGTGATATTGATGTGAGAGGTAAAATTATAGTATAATCATGTCATCATGTCACATTAACATACCATATCATTATTTATTATGATACGTTAATATGTCATATCAATATCATGTAAATATAGAATAATAAATTACATTTTGATTAATAATTATTAATCAATAAATATTTATTTGATTTAAAATAAAAATATAAAAAATTTAAGTAAAAGTAATGAAAAATTAAAACCTTGTTCGAATTCTCTTTAATAATTCAGAGATAATTTTAGGTACCATGTCGTTTTCCTTTTATGATAGTAACCGAAATTGCCTAAATGGAAAATAAGCAGCTTTGTTAATTTGTTATATACTAGTTCAATATTTGAACACATGTTTGATTCATAAATCTAAATTATTTATTTGTTCGATCACATTCTAAAACCTACATGACAATTGACAATTGTTCTGTTTCTTTTACATTTTGCCCATTTCGTCTCTCTTCATTAAACATTTTGATGATTGAGGTGGGTGGGAAGAGCTTGTCAAACATGGTTCAACCATGTGTAAGCAGGTAATAAAAATAAATAATAATTGAGGATAATAAATTGAAAAAACAAAAACATAGATTGGAATCCAGAATGAAGGTCTAGGAGAGGCATGTGCTTGCTTTCTTCACCATTCCTCTATGTTTTGTTTGTAGCATCGAGCCCACATGGAAAGGCACATGCTACCTTTTTGGCTAATTTTTTCTTTCTATATACTACCCTTTTTACAAAGATGGCGACTTCATCAAAAAGAAGATACTAGAATAATAGAACGTAGCTTTGCTCTATGCAATCCGATGGAGAACATACTTTTTCAAGTTAAGGAACACTTGAGTATTTCTCTAATTTGCTAAAGGATAAAGAACATTTAGGCTTTAAGTTGATGATCCCCATACCCTTTTGGTAGCCGATGATGAATAGCAAAGAGAGGATATGGGGCGCAATATTCATTGTTGATATTTTCCAAAAGAAACAATCCCAATATTTTATTCATATGGATAGTGCTTGTATTTTTATTTATATTTTTAATTTAAAAGACGAAAAAATATTTTATTTATAATATAAAATCTATGATATTTTATCTCACTGAATTATATAACGTCCTCATTACACTAATTCTTTTCTCTATAAAAAAATTAACTCATCTTAATCCGGATCTATCTCTATTTTGATGTTTCTCATAGAGTTTCTATATCAACAGTCGAAAAAAATTCTTAATAATTTTAAGTTAAGACTTATTACATCTCTTATTAGTGTAAATTTTATGACATTTATATAAAAATAATAAAAAATAATGTACAATGCTACTTATCCAGCATTAATGCAACCATCCATGTTTTTTTTTTATAGAAAATAAAGAAAAAGGCAGGGAAATGAAAATTTCAATGGAATCCAGGTCATGGGTTTGTATCCAAATTGTTTTATTCAAAGCCGTTCAAAACACGCTCTCCAAATTTGAATTACGTGGCTCCACCGCATACAAACCAACACTCATAGCACAAACTTTTGGTAGTCTTAGTCTAAATAATTAACTCAAGTCAACATACGAACAAAGTAATGGCTTTTTCCAAAGATGGTGTCTTAATACTAATTACCAACACCACCTCGATTGGCTCTGTCGATAAAAGTCGTTTATCTCGACATAAATAATTTTAAATTTTAATATTTATATCTCAACGTAAAATTTGAAATAATTAATTTATTTCCAATTTTTTTTAAAAAAAGACAGTGTAATTAAAAGGCTTAACGCAACCTTAAGGGCCGGAAGTTTTCATTTCTTTTTAATGTAAATTAAACAAAGTGGAAGTCCTTGTGACAAAATAAAAATTAAATTGCCAAATGGTGGAATAACCTCAATGGGGAGGAGGTTAGGGTCGGGAAAGTTTGGGGCGCTACCAACCCTAGGGTTGCTTGAGCCGAAGGCTTTCAATGAATGGCATTAAAAACGAGGGGATGGTTTCAAAGTTCAAACTCAATTAATCCGACCTTATGATTTCTCACATGTCAACTCGTAATTGAAAAGGGAATTGGCAGAAGGGATTGTGATTCAATTTGGTTAATCGGATGAGGTGGCAATGCTACAATTTATGGTTGTGTGATTAATGCAAAGCACCGAGCTAAACCCAAAGCCAAGAAACTCAGGAAAGCCCAAGGCAACCCAAGTTCTACCCCACAAAATAGGACATATTCAACCAACCATTGGATGGCTAATTTGTTTTAGAACAATTTCAAATTGTATAATTAGCACTAGTCTACTTGTCTACTTCAATGAATCTCTCTCTCTCTCTGTATATATATGTAAATATATATATATATGCATATATACATATACATATACATATGCATATATACATATACACATACGTGCACACGTGTAGTTCTGTGTATATAAGAAAACCTAGACAGGGTATCTGCTCAACTTCATTGCTTATTGATTCTTTGCATCCTCCCATGTCTATAAAAATTTATACATATGCATATATACATATACATATACATATGCATATATACATATACATATACATATACATATACGTATGCATATATACATATATATATGCATACGTGCACGCGTGTAGTTCTGTGTATATAAGAAAACCTAGACAGGGTATCTGCTCAACTTCATTGCTTATTGATTCTTTGCATCCTCCCATGTCTATAAAAATTTATCAAGATAGAGCTCTCAACAAACACACTGGTGTCATCATACAGAATCTACAGATTTTTTGGTAGTTTTTGAGACTTCTTGATATTTCATTAATCTAGATGCCAGGTACAAATAAGAGTTCATATCTACCTTCAAGTGGCAATGCCTCTTATAACAAATATATTTGATCATTATATTATTAAGAAAGGACTGTATTATATCCCCCTTTTTGAGAAAATCTAATATAAATGTGATAAAATATAATAATAATGTAAAGGTATTTTACACTATCTTCATTACTCGGTAATTTGACAAAATCGTCGGTCATGCAGTCCAAATCAGAATAATTTCTTTTTCCTGCATAAAAGAAACTTGAACTTAGCATAAAACTACCTAGGAGTTTTATCAGCAGATGTCGGAGCCTTCGAAACGGATTTAGCAGAGTTTGCAGCTTCCTCATTTTCAACAAGTTTGCGGAGTCTCGCTTGAAGGACTCGAACTCTGTCCTCAGTCTTGCGAAGCTTTCTCCATCTGTAAGCAGTCCAAAGTGCCAAACCACCATAAACAAGTGTGTACGACGCCCAAACATAAGGATAAGTTTCAGCATGCTCCTTCATTTTCTGATATCTTTCCTGCACCAGTTCCGTTAGACTAGTAGCCGGAGTACTTGTGGTTTGCTGAGATGCTTCTCCTTCTTGCTGAGTTGCCATTTTTGGCCTTCTATGCTATCCAAACCTGCAAACTGAGCAAACAGCAGAATGAAGGCGCCAGATATCATGCAGCAAGACAAAATAATAACATCAAAACAAAAGAATAAGGACAGAAAGTGCCAGGAAACATTAGAGAGTTACAATGTTTACCCAGAACTTGATATGGCATTTAAAGTATAAATATTCACAATCTAATGTATACTGTCTATAATCAAAGGTTCAACACTGATTTGGCAGGATATCTGCACAACTTAAGGGAGAAAACTAGGTGGTAGCACATTTTAAGTACAGCCTAGACATACAATCAGAATTGATATACACTAACAAACCATTATAAATACACTAATGACAACACTGAATCTGTAAGAGAAACTGGATCAATATTAAAATCTCTTTCAAGTTTTATTAAGTAGAATCCATAAGGTGACATATATCATATAGCAGTTTAGCAATGGCATGACAGATACCAACCGCTGGAACAAAGTAATGGCTTCTTGTCACCTGTCATATTAAGTGCTCGTTTTGGTAACTGCTCCTACTTGGTATAGGAGTAGGAGCTGTGACAATTCATTTGTCACTTTTTTGGGAGGAAAGAGCGGCTAATCAGCAGACTCCGTTCTAAGCTCTCTCTAAACACGCCCTCTCAATACCTTTCTACTTAGCTCTAGCTCCGCTGCTTCCTATTCTCTACATTTTATCGATTACTGCCAGCTACAGCACTCAGCACTTCAAGGACTACTCCAGTCTTTCTCTCCATCGCCTCCTAATACATACTGTTTTACTTGTCCACAACACTATCTCTCTCGCTAACACAGAAATCATATATTTGGAGAGATGATTTTTTTATTAGTGGACAATTACGTTGTAATCGAATTCAGTTTAATGATACAGTGAGGGGTTTTATGTGCTACAGGCCAACGCACAACAAGCTAGTATCCTCCAATGGCCTGAGCGATGAGACAAATACACAAAAAATTACCAAACAAAAAGAAGTGCATTGCCTAATGTATTACAAAGATTAGGCATTATCTAATATCTATCACAATTAACCAAAGTATCATCAAAGTACCCATCACTTTCTGCGTTTTTGTACATTTAACACAAGAATAGGAAGACCCACAACACAGAGAAATTCAAGATGGAGTAATGGCAGAAGCTAAAGACAATTAGATTCGAAGAAACGAAGAAATCTAAAGTGGGTTTTCTTCAAATTTGAAGAAAAACTTTTTTTTAAAAAAAAGGCCAATAACTGAGATGAATCCATATATAAGAGAACTAAAACAAAGTAAATAGAAAACGAGAGAAATACCCAAAACTGGACTATGCTTACGGATTCTATAAGATCCCAGGAAAATTGATGTAACAAAGAAATTTTACGAAAAAGCAAAACAATTAATACCTTTACAAGGATAAAAAGCAACAACCAACCTCTGTCAGCGGTGGTCGGAGTAACGAGTGGTGGCCAGCGACGACGGCGGGGATGTTCACCACAATAATAAACCAGCGTTGTCAAAGTGGCAGAATGAAGAGGGCTGAGGGTTTTGGGTTTTAGTATCTCTCTTAATCCAACGACCTTCAATGAACCTCCATAGATCCAATGGCCTGAAACCATATAAACAAAAAAGAAAACACTTTTTTTCTAAATTTTTTGTATAAAGAGGAATTTATAAATGTATAAATTAAATACTGAAATACGGTTGATATTTCATTATCGTGCACTTCACTATGTTCTTTAGTTGAATTTCGTAAAACATGGATGATGGATCTGGTTTCATTTGGATCAGAGTGGACTTAATGAGGCCGAGCGAAACCAATAGAAAGGGCTTATCTCCATGCTTACCGCCTGGAAGCATTGGGCTCAAGCTTCGTCCAACTTTTCTCGAATTTTCTGTTCTTTATAGGTGTTGTTATAAAGCCCCCGAAATGCAGCCACGTACAAAACGACGTGGTTGAGTCAGTGGCAACGCGTCCGTTTCCTAATGGCTACATGCAACGTGGACTATGGACAACGTTTCTTAAACCTGAATTTGAACTTGAACTTGGAAGCATATCTTCCAAGTCTTAAAATGGATATTTGCAGCCAATAGAATCTCATAACAAGGAGGAAATTACGACTGGAAGAAGAGATATGGTCGGCTACCCCACAGAGGGAACAAGGCCATAGAGTCATGGTTGTTGAATATGATGAAGATGGCAAACGTAACACCAAGGTCTCAATCTCAGCCCCACCGCCACAGCAGCAGCAAGAACCAGGGGAATATTTTGACAAGGAAACTATCAAAGACGCCGCATCCGCGCTGCCAAATCTTGGCCAAGGCATTTCACCTCAAGGAAAAGCTGGCGTCGGAAAACACACCCGGGAGCTTACTTGTGATGCTTTCGGGAAATGTACTAACAAGATCGCCACTGTCCTTGGCAAAGCTAAAGACAAGGTTTCAGATACCGCACAAGAAGCTAAAGAGAAGGTTAAAGAAAAGGTTTCGGAAACGGCACATGAAGCTAAAGAGAAGGTTTCAGAGACCGCACGTAAAGCTGAAGAGAAGGTTTCGGAGACAGCATGTGGAGCCAAGGAGAAGTTAGCTGCTCCAAAGAAGTGGATGTCACATGAAGCCAAAGACAAGGTCGCAGGAACAGCACATCAAACTAAGGAGGCTGTGGGTGATGCTTTAGGCAAAGCAAAAGAGGCAGTCGTGCCAAAGGGCCAAGATGTTAAAGAGAGCGCAAAAGAGTCCATTGATAAGACCAAGGACGGTGCAAAACAGCCAAAGACACAACAAAGACGGCTGGGGAGCATATAGTGGGAAATGTAACAGAGCAAGCAGAAAAGGTGAGGCAAAAGGCCATGGAGGAAGCTAGAGAGGCAAAGAAGGTGAAAACTAGTGCAAACAAGTTCTTTGAAGGGGCTGAAGTACATGACCTCGATGGAGGCGCTGAATTCAGTGGTGGGCATGGCTAACTTGTTGGGGTTAGCTACAGCTCATGGGATGAGTGTGTGGGTTAAGTTTATTTCGAGCTATGTTTTGGCAGGACTGCTGCCAAGACAGCAGTTTGGGGTGGTGCAGAGCAAAATATATCCTGTTTACTTCAGGGCTATGGCTTAGTTATAGTATTGGGTTGGCTCTCTTGGGGCACGTTTTGGATTGTTCTCAAGCAAGCCAGAGATGTTTCAAGCTTACAATCTTTTGTCATCCCTTTTAATGGTTTTGGTCAATGCACTGCATTTGGAGCCTAAAGCCACAAAGGCACCTTGCTTTCTCATGCTCATGATTGCATATATGTTGCTTGATATTATCAGTTTAAACAATAGTAGTAATTTATCCCAGCCAATTCTGCTTCTTTCTGACATTATGTATTGGATGTGATATGTTGCAGGTTATGTTTGAAAAGATGAAATTGGAGAAAGAAGAAGGCAGAGGAAGAGATCATGACTTTGTTGCTGAGGGAAGCAGGGCCACTGAGCCACCACCAAGTGTTACTGAACCAGCAGCTACAAAAACCAGGGAGGCTCCCTTTTCAGCAGCACCCACCAGTTCAGAACCGGACGTCGTTAAGTAAAGCATGGCTGGGCTGAATTAGAGGCTCAAGAAGCTAAATACAAATTCATCACTTCTTAATGTTCTCACTCTATTGGCTCTCACCTGGCATCTTGTTTACCTTGGCCAGCACCTAAGCATCAACTGTTGATACTATAGAAATATAGATAGTTTACTCTTGTAACATACGTAGTTGTTTGATATTAGCTGTAAGCTGTTTGTGAGATGGTTGTAATTTGTAAAGATTCAGTCTTGGACGCTTGGCTTTAATAACTATTTGGACGAATCAGAGTAGAATATGTTAATTATTTTCAAATAAAGGAGTAGAATATTTTCATTATTCCAACAACAATATTCTTAATGTTTTAAGTAATAATATTTGATAAATTATTTAATTCTTTTTATATTTATTTTTAAATATTTTTTAAAAATTTTAATAGATATTTGGAAATGACCGAATTTGTACAAATTATATAATATATATATTTTATATATATCTTGTTAATGAAAAAAAGGGATTTTTTTATTCTAAAATCGATTCATTGGTATTTTTTGTAATCATGCTAAGTTGTTCACTCTTGTGACATTTTTCTTATGATACAAAAACCAAAAGAAACTCAAACAAAATTCTTTATCAAAATCATGAATGACAAGTCACCCCATATTATCATCTAAATTGGCAGTCGAGTAGTTCGAGCCTTGAGGATGAATAGTGTGAGTGATGATGAGGTGCAGGACTCAATCAAAGAAACATAGCCTTGTGCAACTAGCACCGCCCCCGTCATTTGGTGTAAGGTAGATAAACACTAACCGAAGGTTCCCATTATCAAAGACTTAGCAGAATTTTCTTGGAGGGAAGTAAGGTGAAGGACTCATTCTATCAGCTCACGAGTAACAAGGATCCGTTGTCCCATGACATGGGTGACAAACGTATCGTCATGCTTCACTACCTAACTTGCTTCGGACTCAGCATATTTTTGTGTTGCATTGAAGTAAAAAATCTAAACCAAATTCTCATAGTATTTCCTATTCATGTGCAAATAAGTGTCTAGCCTAAATTTTCAAAGTTCGCAAGGTATGGGGAATCTATGGACTTTAAATAATCAAAGTCAATTATACGTTCGGGCATTACCTTGCTTTTGCCTAAATTGGCGTAGAATTTCTCAATGTGCGATGGATGTTTCTGCACTAATAAAACCGCCTGAACCACTATTGTCAATCACCTTTGTGTGCTTAAGTCTGCGACTCATTTTCCTAAATGAGGAAATTTGGAGGCTTCGAGTGTTTTGAGGCAAAACGATTCGATAAAGATGTCAAATATGATGACGTAAATGATTTAATGGACAAAATCAGAAAATGAGTTCGGTTAATTTGTCACTTCGTGGGCAAACGTTGAGAGGGAAACCCTAAAAAGAGTTTAGAGTCGAACAAATTTTGTAGTCGCGAAACTCAAAATTTAGTAATCGCGTGATTCCATATCCAATACTCGCGCAAATCAATATCAACTGGCGACGCAATTCCATAATAACCAATCACGCGACTCCATTTTTACTATGCACGTGATTTTATAATAAATACTTACGCGATTCCATAACAACTAATAACGCGACTCCATATTTACTACTCACGTGATTCCATATTTACTAGTCGCGTGATTCCAATTCTATGACTCAAACAATTTCATATTAACTAGTCACGTGATTCAAAATTTAGTAGTCACGTGATTCCATATCAAATACTTGCCCGAATCAATATCAACTAGTGACGCGATTCCATATCAACCATTCACGTAATTCAATAGCAACTGGTTACAACCCTATGTCATGTAATGCAATTTAACATGTCATATAGGCTACAAAGTAAGGGGGGTTGGCATATGCAAACACATGAACGCTGGCATGTAAATTGCGTAAAATTCTAACAGAATTGAAGATATGAATAAGAAATAAACAATGTTGTTGTTATTGGACTTGTATGCTTATCATATTAATGAATATAGAACTGTTGTTATTGCCTTTTTTTTCTTTTTTGTTACATGGTACAAAAAAGAAAAATTTGTAAATGATACAACAAAGAATAAAAAGGACATGATACAAAACAATGTTATTTACATATTGAAAAAAAAAGAATAAAAAAATTTAAAAAATTTAACATGGGATGCTATTTGCAAAAATCTCAAGGGTAAACTTTTTTTGAAGCTTGTTTATGGCATTTGCCTTCAGTGTATGATCTTCCGAACCCTTCAACCATTACAACGAGGTGATAACCCAATCCCTGCAACTATGTGAATCTTGCTATTTTAGGGTTTTTGCATTTAACTTATACATTATCTGCGTCAAAGGTCACTTTTGACAACGCGAGCTGCCAAAGTACCTGATTTGGTGGCATATAACGGGAAACAATGTTGTTAGTGGACTCATATGCTTATCACACAAGCTGGACTTCAATATATCTATTCGACTGTATGATGAGTCCGCTAACATCATACTCCAATTCAATTAGTTGATGTGCACTACCACCCAATGGCCGTCAAAATAGCACTGTACAAGAATTGAGTCAACCTCGTGCCATGGCAAACCCCACGGAGGACTCTCACCCCTCGCATACTTAAGCACATGGTCTGGCATTACCACTTTACTCGGCTTGAATGTCTTATCAGTCAGGGAAAGCTTCATTTCTTGGCTCAAAGCCAGCAAAATAAGCTATCAATTACGTTACGCACAATAATTAGATGCCATTAAGTAATACACACCTAATAAATTTGAATAATTACAACATATTAAAATATATATATATATAATATACTTACATAGAAGTAGTTGTCAACGATGCATATTCTCTGCCTGTAGAGTTATGGACGGTGTTCGTGCGCCCGCTTACATAAGATGTTGATGCATGCGTTAATGTGTTAGTTGTCCAACAACTCAACCGACATCTCCAATCACCAGAAAAATTGAGGGCCCTCTTGCCCTTCAATGCCCAGAATGTTAACCTTGCATATTTATAACACCCACATTAAAACGTCTATGGAATAAAAACCTAGAATCGTTAACCCTAGTATCATGTACCGTTATCATTTTACCTGGCTTTCTCGTTTTTCATGAAGGACTCATATCTGTCTTTCAAATCATCTTTTGCTTTGCGCTGGACTAATAGCCGGTTAACGTATGGGCTTTGAAGGTATTTGCTAGCTAAGCTCACATGTGCATCTTTGGCCTGAGGTCGAGGTGGAGCCTCAGGAAAAAGTGTGATCTCACCAGGAGGGGGGCCTTTCCTGGAGTTGAGACAAGAGCAAGGCATAGGGAAGTTGTAGTTCCATTACTTGCAAGATGAGGTTCCTCTTCTACCTAAGATAGAAGTGAAGCCTCAGTAGAAAGTCTGCACTGACAATGCTGGAGGGCCTCTAGTGGAGATGGGATAGGAGAAAGGTCTAGTGAAGTTGTAGTTTGACTACTTGCAAGATAATGTTTGATAGGGGTAGCAGGAGGTGAGCTTCAAGCTAATGCAATAGATTGATTTATGCCACCTGTATTGTCAAGATCAACTCAAGTACCGCTACCCTCTTTGTTGAGTGCACCATCCTCTTCACCCATCGATCGACCCTAAACAATTGAAAAAATCAGACACATTAGAACAGTGTATACATCATACATGTTATAACTCACACAATGAAAAAGATAAAAGCTCATACCTCATAACGGTCGATCAGTTGACCGATAATCTAATCTTTCAGCCCTTGAAGTGACTCCTGGATATGCAGATGGAGTGACTGCATCTGCATCTACATCGCCCGCTAGATCTCCAACTGCATTGCATGTCTCTGTCAACATCTGTCCGTAATGACTGCATCTACATTTGCATGTCCATCTACATATCCCTTTGTAATAACTGTAGGTCTTTCTTCCACTATATCCTCATCTGTTACAGTTTTCGCTTAATCCTTATAGTCATTTGAGGATGCAGTGATGGATTGTGCGCCTAACCATGAGGGCCAGCAGCAAAAGCAAGAAGAAAAGTAGCGTGAGGAGTCATGGCAATTGCAGAAGGAGTAGCAACATCAAAAGCAACAGGAGAAACAACATGAAGAGCCATAGGAGGAGAATCAGGCGCCTCAGCAGCAGGGAATTGGGAATAAACCTCCTTGTCCATGGTGCGTCTCTGCTTAATGCCTTGTTTTATCATACTTTTCCCTTTACGGTCCATATCTTCCTTCTTTGCTGAGGACCGAATTTTGGTCGACCCTCCAACTTCCATAATGGAGCGTATTGCTGCCCCTCAGAGATATTAATTTTAATGTCGGCCCAATATGCAGTCAACATCTCTTCCGCAATTGGCTCTAACATCCTGACTAAGCACAATTGCACCAAAACATACATTGCCATTAGGTTTAACCCTCGCTACCCTATGAGAATAAAAATTAAAGTTCTTTTTTTAAATGGCTCCATGCATAAGGCATTTCTGAGAATAGGCTTGAACATAATTTTAAATGTTTCAAGCCAAGAGAAATAAAATTTAGACAAAACTATCATTATTGAAATTGACACATTCATTTTGTTATGCACCTCAACCCAAAACCTATTAACTGGTCAAGTATGTTTATATGGTCCATAACTCTTCAGTTGTCATTGGTAGACCGTACATCTCCTCAGAAGCAATTTTGTCGTAAGCATTCCTCGCAGTTTAACTTTCAAGCATTTTCATAGTAGTAGGAGCATTTTGGATTGGTTATTATTCACATAAAGGTAGTTCGCAGATTAAGCAATGAGAGGAAGTTTAATAAAATAAAAATATATGCTTTCTTTACTCACCTTGCCTTCTCTCTCCAAACTTGCAATCTTGGCGTGGAAGCCTACAGGCTTCACCTCACATGCCCATTTCAGCATTCTTGGGCAAACCTGTCCACACTGACATTGCCTTCCAAACAAGCTTCGAATTACAGGAATTGCTTCCGACGCCTAAAAGTGCACATCAATTGTGAATCATTTTTTACTCACCTCATAAAATCTTATGTAAAAAGAATAATGATAAACATTATGGTATGGCGCACTACTTGAAATACCCATATAAATCCGTAAAGGTGGTAACGTTTCTTCTTTGCTACTCCCATTGATGGAGGTTCGAAACCCCTCATCAAGTAATAGACAATTAGACTCCAAACGTTTGTGCCCCATGGGAATGCATTCCAATCATCGATGTTCTCAACCAATGACAACAACCATAGAATCACTGATCGTCGGTAGTCTTGACTGAATAAAACATTACTATCTTGGTCGCATTTCCCTTCTGTTGAAACTACCCTCCCTTGAACGTCTCTAAAACTTATTGTATCTTCACCTCATTTCCCTGTCCCCAATATCGCAAGTGAATTCCTCTAGGGATGGCCTTATAAGGATTCACAATAAGGGTCGGTAGGCCTCCAAACTTTTGTCTTGTCACCACGCAGAACTCCTTCATCAAAAACTGGGCCTTCGTTCTGCCTATGGCAAACCATAACTCATCCTTGATGGTGTCTGGTTCATTGATTCTGCATAGGATTAGGTTGTGCATGAGACTGACACAGAATAAACTCTTCTCTGATTCGACGTCCATCATATGCCCAAAGCATGTTCTCTTCAAGGTTTCTAACTCATTTACTTTCCACAGCTTCTCACGTATCACATGCAGATGCGACCATTTACAATGGATGCTAATGCCAGCGTTGAACCCCCACAAAGCAAAGATTTCATATTATTCTATTTTGTTCTTGTGCCGGCCATCTGCAACATAAAACAGATAACTTTTCTAATTTAGTCATGTTAATACCATCATTGTAGATTAACAAAAAAAACAAGAATTTCTGAGAAATAGCCTTCATTAGAAGCTCACTCCAAAAATAACCCTCTCAATAATATCAATTTCAACTGTTTTTAGACAGCCCTCAAACAGCATAATTAATGCAAATGTCGAGCATGGATTATTAAGTAAATCAACAAATATCTATTAAAGCATTACAGTTGACCCAAAATAATACAGACCTATCTAGTAGTTACGTAGTGTTAAACCCTTATGCAATCACACAAAGCCTAAGTAATGCCATGGCTCATTCCAATCACATTGTCATGCAATGGTTTATCAATAGGTAGCGCAATGACCTATCAACCAGTCACGCAATGTTAATCCCTAATGCAATCATGCACACCCTAACCTCATTCCAAGTTTCAGTTATACTGTCACACAATGACCTTTCAATATGTCACGCAATCACATATCAAACACTCACACAATGATAAACCCTAATGCAGTCATGCACACCCTTAATGACCCCATGCCAAAATCCAATCATGCATAAGGTGCGAACCACATAAGCAAGCCCTCAGTCACGCAATATCTAAACCCTCAAACCAATTCCTATCAAAGGTTCGTAACGTATACATATCAACCAGTAGCGCATGCTTGGTCACCTTTCGACCCCAACAACACCAACAATACCACCTTCATGTTTACATTCAACAATTTCAAACAACAAACATATCAATATGAATAAGCAATATATATAAGTTTATGCTCAAAAACATAAACCCTAAACATGAAGAATAACCATTTCTCCACATGGTTCAAAATATAATAAATATATATATACCTTTCTCCGCGTAATGTGAACTTCTTCTCACTACTTAATATATGAACTACCTTTATGCAAATAGTAAGCAATCCAAAATGCTCCTACCACTGCGAAAATGCTCGAAAGTTGAACTGGCGAGGAATGCTTTCAACAGAATTGCTTCTGAGTAGATGTACGGTTTGTCGTTGAGAACTGAGTAGTTATGGACCATATAAACATACTTGACCCATTAATAGGTTTCGGGTTGACGCACGGATCCAACGAATGAGTCGGTTTCACTAAGGACAATTTTGTCTAAATTTTATTTCTCTTGGCTAGAAACAATTAAAATTATATTGAGGTATATTCTCATAAACGTCTTATGCATGAAGCCCATTTAAAAAAAAAACTCTTTAAAAATAATGGAATGATTATACAATGAAATTTTTTTACAAAGGTTTTAGACCTTTTGTAGAATATTCCTTCCCTTTTCTTGATTCACTCTTGATTATCTCTCAAACTGATATACTAATCGGTTTACGAAATTGATTATTCCATTCTATAATCGTCCTAAATTATAATAAAATGGAAAAGGAAATTCGAATTAAATAATATAGTATAATAATTAAGGATGACTCACCAAAGTTAATTATAGAGATTGTAAATTAATTTTTAAAACTGACAACACATCAGCATAATTATTGCATAATTATTACTTTATTTTTGAATGTTATCTCATCATTTCATTGAATTTAATGTCATATCAATACAATCAAATAACAGGTTAACATATATCACAAAAAATTTAAACAACGTTCACGATTGAACTAATATTATAAATTCTCGAACTTTACAAATTATTGTAAAAAAATTAAATCCATTATTTTGATGGAGTACATTGACTAATTACATAATTTGTGCAACAATTTCCAAGATCTATATAGAATTTCTGCCTTTCCAGCTACAAAATCACCATCTATGAGAAGGAGAAACGACGAATAAAAAGACCTATTATTTTAAACAATGCACAATCACCTCCACCACCATCACCATCCATGTTTTGATCAGAACACACATACACAAAGAGCTGTTATACCAAGTGCTATGACTCGATTTGATGACCTCAATCATAGGATCTTAATCAACAAAAGCCTCACACTTACGCCTGTCTTTTTACTTGTGCTTAGAATTGGCAGGAGGTAACATAACTCCACCTGTACTTGTTTTTTTATTGCTGTTAACCTCAATAATTGTCAACAAAAAAATGTATGATATATTGCAGGAGTATGAACTTTAGTAGTAATGCAGGTCAAAGATAGGATTGGTAGACAGAAATATCAGATGAGCTTAAACAATGCTTTTTTCATATTCTGTAATAGCATCAGATGTAAATGTACAAAAAAAGTAGCTTCAGGTGTACCATTTCTATATCCATAACTGCAGAAAATCTGGCAAGATAGATAACATTTCTTTTGTCATTCCTTTTCCTTGATGTAAGTATCCACTATAAACTATGAAAGCATTAGATGCAAACCTCAAATCGAGGATAAAAATTCATCTAAATGACTCAAACCTATGAGGAGATCAATTATGTCAATTCACAATTCATAAGCGCGGATATCTATTTATTGTTCAAAGTATCAGATCTCAGGTAATTGAATGGGTAAAAACATATGCCAAATGGTGACCTTAAAAAGAAAAAGAAAGAATGGTGCGATATCAACTGATTAAATATCAGCCACAGCGGTTTTTTTTTTGCAAAGCTAAGCGTATGCTTCCAAGCAAAGAGAATTGGCTCTATAACGACCTGGTGGTCCGATAAAATTCTAATTATTGAAATGATTCCAAGTTCTGAGCCTAGGAATAGCTGCATCATGAGATAGCATTTTCACGATTAAAGTCTGCAAACAGTGGTATGAATGACTATAGATAAAGGTGGAATGTAGAAAAAAAATGGTAAAGAATTTACAATGCTAGACAATTATCCTGAGAACTGAGAACATTAAAAATGAAAACAATTTAAAATTTATTCATGTAGAGCAAAAGAGATTTCTGAACATGCAAAAGTACTCTTCACATCTAATCTCAGATGAAAAGCCCTGTGTTCTAAGTATGCTCTACTTTTATTTCCATTTCCTAATAACTTGATTAGGCTTTGAAGCCCTTACTCTCGATCTTTTGGGTGACAAACTTAATCTTTTCCTTCAATAGATGAACCAATTCTTTCAGATATTCTAAATTATTCAAATCACAGTTATTTTCAGCTGCCATGCTTTCAGCCATAACAAGATCCATCTCCAGCTCTCCATTTTTCTTCCTTTGCTTGTCCAATCTTACATTCAACTGCATTATGCTTCTTCTAAGTAAACTGTTCTGGTTCATCATATACTTACCTTGGACCTCTGCAGGCAAATTCTTGAACTTTTCGAGCACATTGTATGCCTCAATTGGGGAAGGCCAAATTTCCGGTTGTGCATCATAAGTACTGAAAATTATTGCGCAAGCAGCGACACCACACAGGGTTGTCAGCTCATTGAGCTTCTTCAACAGCCCAGCCTTTCTTTTCTTAAGAGTCGCTTTCCTGGCAGATTCATTAGAAATCAACTCAAGCGTAATCTTCTTTCTTGCCATGGTTAAGAATGAAGAGAAGGAATGCCACAGCCTTTTGGAAAAACATGGATATAAATGCATGGCCATCACCATATATGGTTAATAAGAACTTAATGTGCTAACATCGTAACTGAAAAGCTCATGGTTTCCTCATGAGCAAATTCTGAATTAAGGACGCGTGTAAACTGATAAATGGGAAAACTTTCTAACAGAAATTTTTCAAACAATAGTTACAGACTTATTAGACTTAAACCATAGACGGTTTCTAATTGTAGCATCTCCATGGATGGATTATATGGTATGTAATTTATAATGACAACTAAGGACAGATTCTTTTTCTACCTTAAATGGAAAGATGGGACAACAATTGTATGCATATCATATTGCATCACTAAATATACTTGTCCAAATGGCAAAGCCTAGTCGACATATGGAAAAGCCTAAAGTGTAAAGAAATGAACTCATTTTTTTTCTAGTTCTCTTATATTTTCTTTTACATCTTCACAGAATTTATATATATATATATATATATATATATATATTCACTTTGAGATGTGGAATGATATAAACAATAAATAAGCAACATAAATTTCCATAATCAACATGAAACTAAGCATTGATTCTAGAAAAGATAGCTGATAACCATTTGCCAATGCTGATCACTTGCCACTGAAAACCAGCATGGTTCATTAGTAATTCTCATTGGAAATTCACCAACAATTACATTCATGATTGATAAGTAATGGTTTATCATCTGTGATTGTGACCACAGATCAACCCACTCATTCTCGACCGTAATCAAATGTCCTATTATATTCGCCAATCATCTTCTGCAAACCACTGTCCTATGACCATAACAAAATAAATAAAAGCATATGAATGTTTTTCATGAAAATAAGCACCAAAAAGTTTATAGAGTTTGGAAAGTAATTTTCCTTTCTGCAGAATGGGTAGAGTAAATGTATTAAAAAAAGAATTTTGAAATCTTAGAAGTAGAAATAGAATAACTTTATCAAAGTTCCATCATTTAATATTGCTGATGGAATACTCAAAGTCATAATGTTTTTGAATCCCTCATTAAAAAGATTGCCCTTTGCTAAACTATTCAACTGCTCTTCTTGTTTCCAATTTCTATATAAGTTGCCAAAGCATCTTATATTGCCTGGTTAGTGGTCACTCACAGTTGAATCATACCAAATCTATTCAGAAACTGAATAATGTAAAATGATCCACCACTCTATCTATCCGTTTTATGTGCACCTTATTTCCATAAATCCTAGTAGTAAAACATAGAAGGAAAATTGTTTCTACTGTTCCTTATTATGAATAGGTATTTACCCAAATCAAGAGCTACCAATAAGACAAGCAAAACAACAAGAAATACCTAATCAGTAGACATGAGAAAGAGCCCACTCAAAGGATATGAGAACTATCAACTCAAGGAATTGTATAGTCTTGAGGGCTTCAACAATGCTTTCTAGTCTTTCTCCAAATTCTATCTCTAGAACAAGAGCTGACAGTGATGGAATGGGCACTTCCTCAAGAAATTAGAACCAAAAATTACCTGTAACCATGAATATATAAATTAGTTGAAACATAGAGTTCACACATCTTAGTACTTAAGAAACTAAGTGAGAACATCAAACCAACATAGAACTATGAGCAAGAAGCCCATAAAGAGCCATAAAACAAAGTCAGAAGATAGAGCCAATCATTTAATTTATTATGCTTCAGGGAATGGTCATGATGTACAGTCAATAGAAGTAGAGCACTAAATAACTGGTAGAGTACTTGAGCAATTGCTCATTTAACCATGAGAAGTGCTAAGATAAGTAAAATGTTTAGAAAGCTCTAAGCACCAGCAATAAAGTTCATCGATGCTTAACCCTGTGTAGTCAGGGCATTAAATCCCTTATAAATTGAACGTTTGATACTCTGATTCAGAATTTTTTGACTTTGTTATGTTTCTCTACATTTCTACATATAGCTTGATTAGGACACAGAGCTCCACTTTCTTGGCCTTTTTTTTTATTCTAAATAATGGGAAGTACTTGCATTTGTCCGAACTTCACAGAACTCATTTTAGTTTCCAAGCATTTTAATAGTATCCTAATCACAGATAGAAGTTTGTGTCTGGGGCCAGTAGGGGGGTGTGGGTAGGGTTGCGAAAAGGCAAATTCAAAGTGGAAACCATGAGGAAGAAAGGTTTCAGTTATAAATACTTAGTTAATCAAGTTCTGCCTTTGATTGTATACTCCACTGAATAGACATAATTTATCACACAAACATAGGCTATGTGCATAATTATGTAAGGTTTGAATTTTTCTTTCTTTTCGCCGCACAAGCATGCAAACACGTGTGACTATGTGCATGTACGTGCAAATGTGAATTTACATGAGCATGCGTTATATTCATGCATACACATGCATGGATGCACACACATATGCTGAGAGAGATTATTGGTGGGCATTTTAATACTGAGGAAAATGGAAAAAGGGAAAGTTCATAATTCAGTATATTTGGAAGCAGTTTACAAAGACATACCAATAATGTATTTCTACCATTATCCAACTCCATGGCTTCTTTTGTTTGATGGCCTAGTTTAATAGGTGCATTGTGAGAAGCTATAATCCAAATGAAAGGCAAGACTTAATCCAAGTGTTTAGAATCACACCATTAGTTTTAGCAGGTATTTTGTAAGAGGAGGGCAATCATCTTTAGATAAGATAACAACCACTTAATCAACAAAGTTTCTCCTGTCTAGTGCGTGCTTTTAGAAATGCAGTTATCTGTTACTAATGACATTTATTCCAGTGCATCTTGTGGTTACTGGAAAATCTTTCTTTTAAATAAGCAAAATCTCCCATTTAGAAACTGATCAGAAGCAGCTCAACTTTCTCAAGAATATGTATTTCCATTTAAGAAAACAAAAAATGGTGAGGTTTGAAGCATACCTATCTCTTTCCACTCACTTTGCATTTACAACTGGCTTATCTCTTAGGCAGAGGTTTTTGTCCAAACAGCTTTGTCTAATCTGTTTCTCACATATCTGATGCTCACCTTTCAATTTCATATTTTATTTCCTATAACTTCTTCCCCAATTCAGTGCATCATCTCCCTTCCAGATTCATTACAAAAACTACACTGTTTCAAGCAACAATAGAACAATCTAACCACTTGCAACCACTAGTAATCTCTACAAGAACAAGAAACTTCTAGGAAACCATGAAAACAAATTGGATATCTGGGAATTATTTCTCTCATTCCCGCATTTGACAAGAGCTTCATTGTTGTGTGACAATCAGGGCAGGCTCTCAAATATTTCTTCACCGTAATTGAAGCTAATTTTAGTGAGCTAATAAGTCCAAAAGTCATTGCTAACTTTTCACTGTGATAAATCATAACTGAGCCCGTTTTGGGTTTTGCTTCAGTTGTACTAGAAGCAGTCCTCTCAGCAACATAACCAAATTTCCTTACCTTCTCAAAAATTTCTTCCAACCTTGATAAATTACTTGATTCATAGGGTGAGATATATCAACCACAGCAAAGGAATGAACTACATTTCCAACTTAAATCCAACTTAGACCAGGTTCCTTCTTCACCCCTTGTCGTCGCATCATTTCTCTGACACTTGCAGCCAATGGTTCTACTGCAGCATCAGCATAGATGCTGTAAAGAAGAACATAAGATGCAGCCTCTTGGGGTTCAAGTTCAATTACTTTCCTTGCAGCATGTTTTGCTGTTACCATGTCCTTATAAACCCTGCAAGCACTCAACAAGGCTCGCCATATTACTGCATTATCCTTGAAACATGAGGTAAGGATGAAATTTTCAGCCTCTGCAAGCCTTCCAGCACGACCAAAGAGGTCAACAACACAGCAATAGTGCTCTGCACTGGTTTCAACTGCATAATGCTTCATGCTTTCAAAGTATCTGCAATTGCTCAAAAGGAAAAATCAAACAGTTATAATGAATAAAAGCCAAGAAATAGTCTGCTTGCACAGCAGCTCTCAAAGGACAAACAGAATGCTTATGGGAGACATAAGCAGTTTAAAAACACATAACAGAAAAGAGGATGCTAAGACTCCAAAAATAACGCATATATTTACATGTTATCTGTCATCCCCCTAATATGAAGTGCTATTGTATATAAATTAATTCAGTCTCCAGCTTACAAAATTTAGTTCTTCCTTTAGGTCCAAATACTGACAAATTCACACTGCAAATATTAAGTAGCATGTAGCTCTAGATTTGATTTGGTCTTGGAATTTGTGGATGCAACCCGCCCCAATGACCCCTCACATGCACATGCACACAAATCATATGTACAAATGCACTTAGAAATCATAGAAGGCAGGGCTTTATTGACCTACTGTAATCCTTCTTCAACAAGCCCTCCATAACTGCAGGCACATAGAACTCCTATGAATGTAATATGATTAGGCGCAACCCCATGTTCCTTCATCAACCCAAAGAGTTTCAAAGCATCCCTAGCACATCCATGTTGTGCATAGCTACAGATCATAACTGACCAAGAAACCACATCTGGATTTTCTGTCTCTTGAAATGTCAGATCAGCAGAGCCTATGTCACCACAATTTGCATACATGCAAAGCTGTGAGTTTTGAACAATTCTGAACTTTCCAAGGCCACTTCTTATGGCATGTCCATGAACTTGCTCACCCAATCTTGCTGTTGCTGAATCTGCACAAGCACTAAACATGTTCGAAATAATAAACTCATCTGGTCTTCCTCCAGATGCCAGCAGTTCATGAAACAGATAAAATGCACTTTCAAATTGCCCATTCTGTACATGACCAGCAATCATGGATGTCCACAAGACAATATCTTGCTTGGGAGTTGATCTGAAACATTTCAAACTATCTTCAGTTGATCCCATCAGTGAATACAGTTCAATAAGTGCACTTCCAATGAACTCATCATACTGCAAGTTATACTTGCATATTTGTGCATGAATTTGCTTGCCATAGTCAAAATCTTCAACAGCATTACAAGCTTTAAGCATGCTTGAGAATGTAAATTTTGAGGGCTTCAGTCCTTGCCTTTTTAGCTCAGAGAAAAGGCTGCAGGCTTCATTTGGACATTCCTTGCTAACACTTTCTGCTTCTATAAATCCAGATATCATGGCATTATACATGACAATATTACGGTCAGGCATGGTTTCAAAAATTTTGATAGCGCTATTAACTTCTCCTTTTTTCGCATACATATCAAGCAATGCCGTCCCAACAACAATATCAACATCCAATCCAAGTTTGATTATACATCCATGAAGCATTTCCCCACATGTTCTCCCAATGTCAATGATTGTACAACATGCCTTCAAAACACTTCCCATCGTATAACTATTCAAATTCAACCCGTTTCGATGCATGTTTATCAATAGTTTCAACATCTCTTCATTTCCATTCATAGCAACATAACCTGCAATCAATGTGTTCCATGAAACCTCATCTAACTCCTTAGAATTCTCAAACAGAAACCTCGCTTGATCAAGACATCCACATTTGCAATACATATCAATTAACGAGTTGGTCAAAAATGTTTTCTCAACCAATCCACTTACCACAATCAAGCCATGAATTAACTTCCCTAGTTCAAGATCCCCAGTTTGAGCACACGCATTTAGAGCACCCGCATAAGTGAATTTATCAAGTTTCAAACATGATTTTCTAGCTTCAAGAAACCATTGCATAGCTTTATCAAAAGCACCCATCTGCGTATACCCAGAAATCAAAGAATTATACGAAACCAGATTTGGTGTAGACATTCTGTCAAACAGTCGGTGAGCTATATCCATTTCACCAGCTTTGCAGTACATATTTACCAGATTGTTTAGTAAAAAAAGGCATGGCTTGAAAGCAGATTTGATGATGTGGGCATGGGCAAGTTTACCATGGAGGAAACAACCGGACTTGGTGGATTGTTGGACGAGCTTTGTGTAGATAACAGAGTCCAAAGGCTCAACTAACATGGCGCAACTCTCTGTTCCGCAGACCTCCTGCTACGGGGTTAGCACCAAAATTTGCCCCTCGTGCCGCAGGCTTGCTATTAGGCGAGGCTACTCCGGTCCAACCGCACCGCAGGCTTGCTATTAGGACAAGGGTCAAGGGGTCCACTGGACCAAACGAATTGGACCTCTTTTTCTCTTCATTAATTTATTATTATTATTATCTTATATGGGAGTGATGAAAACATCCTTGCACAAAATTTAACGTTTTTCTTTTAATATAATTAATAAAATTAGATGATAAATACCTATAATATTATTAATTAATAAAGGTAGACATAAGAATAAAAATATATATAGTTCTATTGTATTTAATGTATAAATATTTAAATAAATAACCATGAAAATATAATCAAGTTGTTTATATATAGATAAATATTTAAAATTATCTACATAATTAATTATGTAAAAGTATAAATAAATAAATGAGTAAATCAATATATTTAACTTCAGTTAAATAATAATAATTTTGATATAAAAATTTATTTTATTAACTTTATAAATGTGAAATATGCTATAAAATTATATAATATACCAACTTATTTCTAATGTACTTAATGGTCAACTTGTATTATGTTATTTTTGTAAAATGTTAAAACAAATATCAATTGGTAATACTTGTTTTTCTATGAAGTCAACATTTAAAAAAACACTTTAATATGTTGAAATATCTAAATAAAATAAATTTGAAAACAAAAAGATTAAAATGAAATTTTGATTATTGCATTTAAAATTTTTTGAAAAATAAAATTATACATCAGTCACATACAAAAATGAAATCAAACAAATAACATATTTATAATATAAACATAAAAAAAATTAAATGATCAAAATACCTACCAAGTCCCTACAATTATACATTTTGTCCAATTTAATCACTGTATTAAAAATCAAAATAATTTAATCCATTGATTTTGAAAATTGTTTTAAGTTAATCCTTTCTCTTAACAGTATCCAATTTTACCATTAAAAATAATGACATGACATAATGTTGACATGGTACATTTTGATAACTTGGCACCAACATGATGACATGATAATGTTGCATGGCATTGACATGATGATATGGCAATACTACTATAGCACTAACATGCTAACGTGTCAATGTCCAATGATAATGCTGACATGACAAATCGATAAAAAAATTTTAAAAATATTTATGCCACGTTATAATGACTAAATTGAATAAAAATATATAATATAGGAATTAAATTGATAAAATTAAGATGTTTAGGGATTAAATTGAAAAAATATTTAAAAAATATAAATTTTTGAATAAATGATACATATACTTATTAATAAACCAAATGATATCTAAGGGTAAAAAACTTATAGTGCTAAAATTATTTATAAATATTTTCTTACTGGAATTTTTTATTTCAAAATAGATATATCATTTTATTTTCTTTGTAAAAATTAAATTCGAATTCCCCTTCTATAAAAAAAAATTTCAATACTTTTAAAAAGGTTCATACCTAAAATCAGATTTGGATAAATAACTTGCATTATGTTGAATAAAATAATATAAAAAGATTAAATAAATCTTTTTTCTATTTACAACTGTATAAAATTTTGAAATTTATATTTTAATTTGACTTAGGTTTTAATTTAAGTTGAACCCAAATTGACAAAATAAGTTGATTTGGCTACAGCTTTCACATTTTATAAATACTCATTCTTTTGGAATTATTCATTTTTACCTAATTTACCTTTTATTTCTTATAAAATGATTTTATTTAAATTCAAAAATCACAATCAAATTCTGTTAAATTTAAATTATTAATTTGGCTCTATAGAAAATTCGTAAATATAAAACAAAATGATATAAATAGTTATAATTATATTAACTTTATCAGCTATAAATGTAGTCTTTAATCCAGAAAATTTCAACATAAAAAATGTAACTTGAAATATTAAGCAAAATAAAAATGTAAAAAATAAACAAAAAATTAAAAGAGTGGAGTATTTCAGATTCTATGAGTGTAATAAGAGATCTGTCATACCCAAATTGAATTAAGCAAATCAGAATGAGAAATTATTTTTATAATCATCGTTAACTTCATAGTCATCAGAGAGCTGTTTAGTCTTTAAATTAAAAGAATTTAAGTAAAATCGAGAAACGTAAATCTGTTGTCATTGCCCTAATATCACAACAATTATTCGATGAATTAAACTTCTAATGATAAAAACAAAGATAAACAAAGAACATAAAAGAAGATTGAGGGGTGACCAAGGAAAAGAGTAACTACTGCCTTTTAAGATAACATATTTAAAATTTTTTTATATAAAAAGAGAATTCAAACTTAATTTTTGCAAAATAGCTAAACTAATGTACTTATTATGGAATCAAATAATCAAATAAGAAAATATTATATATTTTTCTTAACACCATAAATATTTTACATTTAAACATTTGACTTATTAATAAGTATATGTATCATTTACTTAAAGATTTATATTTTTCAAATATTTTTTAATTTAGTCTCTAAACATTTCAATTTTGTTCAATTTAATCATTGTACTATATATTTTGTTCAATTTATTCCTTAGACATGACATAGTCTTTTTTTTTTTTTGAAAATCTTTTTCTTGATATATCATATTAGCATTGTCACATGGCATTTACATGTCACTATGTTAGTGACATGTCAGCATTATCACATCATCATGTCAATGTGCCACATCATCACAACGGTGCCATGTGGTATTACCACATTATCAAAATATGACACGTTAATGTTGACATCATCACATTTAACGACAAAATAAAATGTCACTAGGGGAAAAGATTAAATTGGAGTAATTTTCAAATTAAGAAATTAAATTATTTCGATTTTGAGTATAGGGATTAAATTGGATAAAATATATGAGTACAAGGACTTGGTGAGTATTTTAATCAAAATTAAATCAAATTGTACAACATACATATGAATTTTATTTTAAAATTTTTCTTCGATCAATACAAAATATAATTAAAGTTAACATGTAGAATAAGAAAGTTCCTTCTTAATAATTCAATTATTCACGTTAAGGAAAAAGAGGAAGAAGAAGAAGAAGGCGGAGGGGACACATTCTGCTTGTTTGTTTACCTAACAATTCCTGCTCTTTCAATTGACTACCTCTTTAAATAATATTAATAATATTATATTATATTGTAATATTATTAAGGGTCTGTTTGGTAATAAAAAAATGATTTGTTGAAGAAAATTTTTTTGTGTAAAATATTTTACAGGAAAATTTAATGTTTTCTTTTATTTGGATAAATTATCGAAAATATTTTCTGTTGTTTGAATCATTTTATGAAAAATATTTTTCATCATTGTAGAGTTATTTAGGTGTTAAAATAATAAATAGGAGTTGATTACATAACAATATTGATATTTGATTTTCACTTATTTAAGATCAAAATTAAGAATGGAAATGAAAATGGATAAAATTAATAATGATATTTTTCAAAGCATTTAACTATATATCTATAATGAAAATAAACTATAATTTTCAAAAACGTTTCCATCTTATCACTTTTTTATCATAATTATAAAAATTTAAATATTCATTAATTATGTAAGATATCTAAAGCTTATACTTATAAATATGTATTCATTAAATGATGATCATTGAAATATTTTTATTATAATTATTAGTAAGATTTAAACTTCTTAATTATAAATAAAAAATTTAATTGTATTGAATGGTTTCATTAAAAAAATATTTTTTGATTTTAATAGTGTTGTATAATTTAAATATTAATATTTTAAATTAATTTTTGAAAGGTAAATATTAATATTTTTATTTTTTAAATATTTTAAATTAAATATTAATATTCATCAAATTTATACTCATAAACTTAGTATATTTTATTAACCTTATTGACTAGTAAAATATTTTATATTTAAAATTAATTTTCCATCTTTTAAATAAATATAAATCATAAAAATATTTTTTTAAAAATATTTTACTGCTATACAAACGGACCCTAAGTCATTATATGGATTCATTCGCATCTATAACGTATATAAAAATAAAATCCAAAACTGAGATATACTCATGTTGTGGTATTGTAAAGCTGCCATATGGCAAGCTTTGAAAATTAAAGAACGCACGTCTTTGACTTTTTCAAAAAAAGAACAATTGAATTTAACCGACAAGTATTATTCCGTATTTACTGACGGTATCCACTGCCGGAGATTCAAAATTTTTTAAACTCCATACCATAACGACGTAATCCCCACACAACATAACTTTTTTACTTCTTTTCTTTTTTTCCACATTACCCTTTTTCCCCAAAAGTGATCTTTTATTCCCATTGAACCCATCAAGCTATAATTTCTAGAAATGAATAAATGAGTGAATTGGATAGTTTGGTAAATTATATTTAAAGATCAAATAAATCAATCATTTTTTAAAAATTAATCAAAATCAATCAAATATAAAGAAAGATCAAACCAACAAAACATATAATTAATTTTGTTAGTTTGATTTTAGACCAATAAATTAAAATTTTATTACTTTTTCTTACAAATTATAATATTAAAACTTATAAACTTGATAATACACCAATCAATGAGCCAAATGCTCAGATGCATGATATAATGATATAATGATATATGATATAACTTATATATTATAATATTTTATATCAAAATTTGTATAAATAATAACTAACTATAAACAATATATTTTAATATCTAAGTGATAGCCAATAAAATTATTAAGTGTAATCATATAAATAAAGTTTATTATAAGTTATAATAATGCTT